GTGATCCTAGCGCTGGGGAGCCGCTGCAAATACAGATGAAGCTTCGCTCATGTGTCCACTGCTCACTTCCTGCTGTGCGCGCCCAGTTCCTAATAGGCCACGGACTGGTACTGGTCCGCAGCCTAGGGATTGGGACCTCTGCTCTGAGGCACATGAAAAGAAATCAAAGAAACATGATACCATCAAAGGATCACAATAATCTTCCAGACATGAAGGTGTCCAATTTACTGAATAAAGAATTCAAAATAGCTATTTGAAGGAAACTCGATGAACAAGAAAACACAAAAAGACAATTCAATAAAATCAGGAAAACAATGCACAAACAAAATGAGAAGTTTAACAAAGAGGTACAAATTGTAAAAGAGGATAAACAATAGACTTGATCAAGTAGAAGAAAGACAGTAAATTTGAAGACAGGAAATTCAAAATTACAAAGTATAAGAAAACTCATATATATCCCCTATCCTCACCCCATCCCTTTCCACCCCTTTTCTTATAGGCTGAATTAGTTATTAGATTAGGTGTCGATCCAAAGACAAAAACTTGAGCTTCAGAAGATAAACAAGGGGAAAATCACCTGGGCAGGAGTCACCCAAACTATCTCAGGAGGCTTGGAAATTACAAGCATAGCCACTGTAGTGGAAGGAGCGGAATGCCCAGCTGAAGTGCTTGCATTACTGAATTAACATCTGGATACTGTACTGGATTGAATAGTGCCACACACACATCCCTTCCAAATTTACTTCTTTCCCAGTACCTCAGATACGACTTTATTTAGAAATAGGGTCTTACAGATGTAGTTAGTTAAGGTGAGGTTATACTGAGATAGGATGGGCCCTTCATCCAATATGACCAGTGTCCTTATAAGAAGAGATACAAAGACTCATACACAGAAGAGTCAGTCAATGAACACAGAGGCAGAGTTGGATGCGTCCATAATCCAAGGAGTGCCAAGGATTGCCAGCAACCACAGAAGCTAAGAAGGATCCTTTCCTTGAGCTTTCAGCGATAGCGTGGCTCTGCTGATACCTTGATTTCAGATTTCTAGCCTTTACAACTGTGAGGATATAAATTTCTGTTGTTTCAAGCCACTTAATTTGTGGTACTTGATTACAACAGCAAAAGCAGTCACTGAAGGCAAGATTCAGGAAACTGGGAGATGAGGCATTGGCATGGTCTCTGAGTGTGTGTTCATGATGGGAAGAGGAAATAAAATGATGCTTCCAATTAGGAAGCAACATTGTCATTTTCCCAGAGCTGCTATAAGCTGGTCTGTGCTGGATTTTTTTATGACCTCGTAGATATTTTGGATGATAATATAATAAGAAAGTTGCAAGAAAAAGAAAAACTTCCTTTTGTGCTTTGAACACAAGTCAGGGTTTTCTGTCTGAAGTGGGTATAATGCTGTTACAATTGGCAAGATCAAGGATAAGCTTCAAACCATAATCAGCAGAGAGTGTTATACAAATTAAGTACACATATTATAAATACAGTAATTCCCAAACTAATTTTCTTCAACATATCATGTAGTGACTTACACTTTAATCAAAAGTTTAACATTGCATTAGATCATATTGCTAAAAATGTTGCTGAATATAATCTGGGTACAGGACTGAACTCACCGTCTTACTCCTAAACCTGCTTTACACCCAATATTTCTATGTCAGTTGATGACATTACCCAAACGAGAAACTTTGAAGTCATTACTGATTACATCCTCTGTCTCCCCTTCTAAGAATCCAGTTAGGAAAGTCCGCCAATTTAACTTCTGAATGATTTCTTTCTAAATCACACAGTATCCTTCCTGGTTAGTTCTTCTCAGCCTCTTCTGACAACTTGTGCTCCTCCTTCTCCTAAACAGTAAATGCCAAGGCATACAGGCCTGCTTTTATTCCCCTGACACCCCTCACTTACAGCTTCTCTTTGTCCACTGTCATGTCTTCAGTTACAGGATGAATATTCTCACACTCACATCTCCAGCTTGGATGTCTCTTATGAGCTCCTGACTTGGATGCCTAGGAGCCTACTCAATATCTCTTCTTGGATATCCCATAGACACCTCAAACCTAGCTACTCCAGACTGAATTTTTCATGTTCCTTTAAATCTTTTACTCTTCTACCATTCTTTATCCAGTTGCTTCAACAAGAAACTTGAGAATCTATCTTAACTACTCCCTTTTCCTGTCTCTCCAAGTCCTTCTGGTTTTACCTCTTAGATATCTTTTGACTCTTCAACCCCATCACCATCACTTGATACATGCTTAAACTAATATCATTTCTTTCTTGACACCTAAGAACCAACACCCTCCCAACAGCTTCCCCTGCTTTCCCACCACAAATATATCGTCTACATTGGTACTAGTTCTTATTATGCAAACCCTTCAATGCCTCCCCATTGCCTGCAGGATAATGTTCAAAGTCCTTGGCATAATATACAAAGCCCTGTATAATGTAACCTCTGCCTAACTCTTCAGGTAAAACTTTCACCACCCTCCACCTCCCTGCATTTTGTGCTCCAGAAATATCAAACTACTTCTGATTTTTTACTTACACCACATTTCAGGACTTTGTGTATGTCGTTCTCTCTCACTGGGATGATCTTACCTATTGTTTACCTGTACACACCTCTTTGACCTAAAGAATCTGCTCAGCCATCACCATTCATGTGGATCTTCTTATTCCCTACTCTCCCAGAACAGAACTAATCATCACTTCCTCTGCACTATGTCTCTGAACTTTGTACGTATTTGGAATAATCTGTTTATCTGGCTGTCTCTCTGACTAGAGTGGATATTTTTTGTGGGAAAAGAACCATTTTCATCATGACAGTGCCTACCACAGCACCTTGCTGATAGCAGGACTCAATAAGTGTTTATTGAGCTAAAGTTCTGCTTGCCTTTGGATAAAGAATCCTACTTCACATGGTGTAGTCTATGACAATTTGGGTAAATTATTTCAAGTAATAAAATAAAGGTTTTGTTAAGCAATGATATTGCTATGTCATATCATTAGGAATTTTAATTAAAAAATTGACTTAAGATAATTCTGTATAACGAAATGTTAATTGCTTAACTCAAATTACACATTTACTTAGAAGAGAGGCATTTTATTGGCTCTTCTCCCTTTAAAATCTACTATGAGTATGTCCTATCTCCCCTAGTTCTAAAAATAGATCCTAAATCTGCCCCTTCTCTCCAGTCCACGGTTGTACTGCCACTATGGGCCACCAGTATCTCTCATCTAAATTACTACAGAAGCCTCCTGACTGTTCTCTACAGAGTAGCTGGAGGGCTTCTTTTCAAATACAGATCAAATCCTGTTACTACCCGGCTGTAAGGCCTCCCATTGCTTCCTGTGGCGCCAGGATGTTCAAACTCCTTTTCATGGCCTGCAGTCCTAAATGATCTTCCCTCTCACGTGGGTGTTAATCTCTGATTATGCGGTGCCACCACTCCTCGCACACTGCTCCTGCCTCACTAGCACTCTTTCTGTTCCTCAACTTTTTAGCACTTTAGGGCCTCCACACTTGTCCCTTTGGCTTCTGGATTCCTGCATGGCTGTCCCCTTAGTTATTCAGGTCTTAGTTCCAGTGGCATTTCCTTAAAGATGTTCCCTTCATCACTCAATTTAAAGCAGCAACCAGACACAGAGTGTTACACCTCCCTGTTCTACTTTCTTCATTGTTCTAATCACTATGCAGCAGAGTAAAATTTGAATTATTTTACAGATTACATGAAAACAAGTTATCTAAAGCAGTAAACCGGTAGTTAGCTTGGTTTATATCTCTGGAATTATCTCTAATCACCCATAAAGAGTAGCTTCCAACTTTATGAACCTGCTTATACCCACAAACTTATGCATTTCTATTTGTTTAGAGTCATATGTTAAAGTAGTAACTACCAAAAAGAGAGAGAGAGAGAGAGAGAGATAAAACAATGATCTCAAACCTGAATGCTTGAAACACCATTGAAGTGTGCCCTTCATATAAATGTTTTTCTCTAACTTTGAACAGAAAACCAACTTTCTCCTAATAATTTCATTGTCATTCCCCAGTTTATGATTACTTCACTTCTTTGGATCAGAATAAATTTAGATTATTACATGAAGGCGCAAAATAATATGTACCCGGTGTTTTAAGGCCTTGATCAGTAAGTTTGGAGTTGTTCTCTTACCACCTCCTTGTAACAGTTCTTCCAAATGTTTTCTTTTTAGACCTCAGGCTGCAGTTCGGCTAGTGAAGTTCTCTTTCCCCTTCTGTTTTCACCCCCTCCCCTCTAGTCTTTAACAGAAGATCTGGATTCAAGTGCTTTTTCTGCTACCATTTGACCCACTGAATGAATTTTTTCAGGTGGCATTTTTCATTTCTTTATTCATTTGTAGTAATATAGTCTCATGGGTTTTTATTTCATTCAATGGTTTTAATCCATTGTTATTCATTTTGATGCTAAAATTATCTCAGCTTTAGCCGTTGGGAGCTCCTCCGAGTTGCCACCTGTGTCCTTTGACCAGACTCCATCATTTTGAGCACTTCCCTATTTACTAGCACAAAAATACATCCTGTACTTCACCTGCCGCAGCTCTGGAATCACCCTTTTTCCCCAAGGAGCTGTGACAGAGTCATGCTTCCTTTTATCGGAGCCTGGGGTTTGGAAACCAAGACTTCGGTGCTGGATGTACTGCTGGCTTGTCATTGCTTGAACTATAAGAATTTATAATTATCCTCCTTCACCACATATCAGCTTGAATTTCTTTCTATTGCAAGTCTGGTTCTAGAAGACAGTGGATTTTTATTAACTTCCTCAGTATCTCCATTTTGAATCAGAATGGCCTGCATGCTTTAGACACAGGCTCATCACACCGAAACTATTTCAGGTTTCTATTTGAGAACCTTCAGGAGGGAGCCCTTGGTCACAGGCGTGCAGCACACACCTGTGTCCTCCAGAGTCCGCTGTGCTGCGCCTTGCGCAGCCTCAGAGCTTTCCCAACCCTGGTGTGTCCGCGACACTTTGCAAGGACACGAGAGAGAGTGCATGTCTGCGCTCCCACATTCTCCCGACGCCGCCTCTGATTGGCTCCTGGGCGTATAAGAAACCAGTGAATGAGCAGCTGGCCCTTGCAGAAACTTGCTGGAGGTCTTTGGGTGGTATCGCTCGTTCATCCTCGTCAACCTGAGGGCGAGCCCACCCCGGCGGATGATGAGGTCGTCCTGTGTGGTGCTCACCGCCCTGGTGGCGCTGGCCGCCTATTATATCTACATCCCCCTGCCCAACTCCGTGTCCGATCCCTGGAAGCTGATGCTGCTGGACGCGACTTTCCGGAGCGCACAGCAATTGGTGAGGCACAGCCGAGCGCTGATTCTACCTCCTCTTAAGCAGTATTCGAAGTGGGAACCAAAATTTGCGGACCGTATCCCACGAGAATGCCTATTTTTTTCTAACACAACGAGGTGATTGCTTTTTAAGGTGGTTCAGTCTGGCATTTTCAAGGTGTCGCATTCGCCTTCTTGCTAGTAGCGAGCTAGATCTGTGTGCCTCGTGGTCTGCGCTAGTGACGGAGAAAGTGAAGTAGTTGAATAGAATTTAACAACTGTCTAACCCTTCGTCTGTCATAAACCCTTCTTTTTTGGTTTGCAACGTCAAAAAAAAAATCATAAAGCATTTTATAAGCCATCCCTCCCCCGCCATTTTAGTTCTCAGATAGGGACCGGCAGAGAGAGCGTTAACATTTTTAGGATGGCTTTGGGAAAAACGGGCTCTCATTTTGGGCAATGCAACCCCCTTAACGGCAGAAGTGGGCACAGGCCATGTCTCAACATCTCTTGACTGTGGAGTTCTCCATTCCCGAAGAGCAGCAGTCAGGGCTCCTCTAAGTATTTGATTTCACAGTTCATGCGTGGCAGTTTCAGCTTAGCCCAAGAAACAAGGCCAGGAGACTTAGCTGGCTGGAGGAGAGACGGTGCAGGCGGCAGCCCATGTTAGTATGATGCATTTGCTTTCTGCCAGCCCTACAGCATTTATTTTATGTTCTTAGCTTACCAGGAGATAACCTTTGCCTGAGCCAGGATACCCTGACTTATCATGGCCAGGGTAACATTTTTTCTTCTGTATCATGGGTGCGTATTTCTTTTTTCCCCACAGACAGATTTATTCTATGGCAAGGGGCATTATTTTTAGTGCCAAGAAATCAAAAATCTAAACTACAACCTGCAGCCAAGGCTGAGCCCTATAATTGATCAGTATTTCTGAGTAGCTTGCTCTGTCTTAACTCCTAACCCTCGTGGAAAACCAAGTCTCCTCTCTTCCCCCAACCTTAGTTAATCTCAGCTTATTTTTGTAAACTCCTTTTTTTTCCAGGAATGACAAGAGAAAGAAAGGGGAAAAAATCATGATTTTCCTGGGTCGTCGATGTTCCTCCTCCCTCACCATTCTAATTGTGTTGAGTTACATAGTCTCTGAAGCTTTGTCCTATTAAAAAGCCCTTTAATAAGGTATTGTAGCCCACTCCTAGCACGGATTTGCTTCTCTTGAATCCAACCCCCTCTCCACTCCCAAGTTCCCCGTTGTCTACTAGGAAGCGCCTAGGAAGCTATACACCCTCTTTCTTCTCACCTGCTTTCTATAATGTCGACATAGTGGAAAAATTACCATCCCTTTCTCTAGCATTGATTCCAAGAAGGGCAGTCTTCATATAGGAAGCCCTGCAATCCCTCTTTTCCTCTAGAAATTAAGTAACTTGGGAGTAACATCTTTCAAGGATTCTAGGGTGGGTTAAATGGCCTTTAGTAAATAAATTGATAAGAAAAATAGTGACTGAAAAGAATAAGAAATACAAGGGAAAAAGAATAAAACTGCTGTGTTAGCCTCAGAGGTTATTTTTAGTTTTCAGGTCACCAAGGAAGTCTCATAAGTAATCTGAGTAAAGCCAGGTTTGAAGAAAAGCCTTTCTTCCCCAACCAGGCTGCCAACCCATGAAAGGGAAGGCCTTTAGACCCTGTGGTCCTTTACAGAATGTGTCCCCAGCTGGCGTTTGGGAATGATGATGTGTGTAACTCCAGGTCACAGAGAAAGATGAGGTAACCAAGTATTTTCACCTACCACGGTAGCTGGGGAATGGGTTTGCAAAGAAGTGGCTCCCATCACTTGTCTTCGGAACTGTGAAATATCAGAAAGATCATTCAGACCACATGGAAGCATATTCTACCCAGTAAAGGAATCTACCAGGGCCACTTCAAATTGTCCTGGGGGAAAGGCAATGTGGCCTGACACACTGTAAGTAGATTGGATCGTGATTGTTAGAGTCATGCCTTCCTGAATCCCATCCCAGCCAAGCCACTTACTGGTGGTGAGGCCAGGCAATTTACTAACCTATCCTGTAAAACAGAGCTAACTTCATAAGGTTGCTGTGAAGCTTAGTAATGTATTTAAATGCCTGGAACTTGTAGTTAATCTACTAAGAGTTGTCCCCAAGGTCCTCTATGGATTGTGGGGATTCCAAAATTTGTGGGAGTGTCCAACATTGTTGAAAGAATAAAATTAAAAAAAAAAAATGTAAACGGGAAGCAATTTATCTTATTGAAACCTGGAGAGCTACCACTAAATTGCATGGCATAAAGTTTATTACCCAAGTAATTTTCATCAGAGTTCATTGGCCAAATGAGAAAAGCAACTTAAGATACCACAGAGGTGAGGTTTTGCCTACTTCCTAACACAGCAGGCTCCTACCCAGCATCAGGAAATATGAACACTACTTTTATTCTGTTGTCATTGGCAAACATTCACCCCTCTCATCCTTCTTTTCTCCTTTATTTTGTGCAGATAAGTTATGTTTATTGTACTTTACTTCCCTGGGGTCCTACAATATTACCTAAGAAGAAGCCACTTGAGCTCTTTCTCTAAATCATCTCAAACACAGATGCTACATTAAAATCATCTATGGAGCTATAAAACATCCTCATGCCCAAGTCACAGCCTATACCAAATTTATTTAGAATCTCTGGGAGGGGAGTTCCAGGCATCAGTGTTTTTAAAAGGTGATTTCGATGTGCAGCAAAATTTGAGAACCACTGCTCTTTAAGATAAATAAAAAGCATTGCAGATGTAGAAGACATATTTTCCTTAAACTGTTCAAGTTATATTGTTCACAGGCTGCTGGGAATGAGCCCTTTCATATTAGCATGGATTAGTTTATCAGATTAGTTGGTTGATACTTTGGCTCTAAGAGTCTAAAGGGATAAAATACTAGCTAGGCAAATTTCAGTGTTATAGAAGAGCTATCATAAGCCTTGAGCAGTGGTAAAGCACAAACAAAAGAAGATCTGGGAAAGTCAGTGGAGAAAGATATTTAGATGATTGGACAGCCAGAAACTAGAGGAAAAGGATGGAGTTTGGGGAGATTCTGATACTTATTTTAAACTGCTGTGCAAGCAAAGATTTTAAAAAATGGCAATCCCAGTACAAGTGAAGATACTGAGAAGTATACACTGCTGAGTTTGGCAATATCTATTGGAAGCCATAGAAGCATATTTATTCTTTGACCCAGCAATCTCTCTGGAGGAATTTATTTTAAGTAATGATGGTTATAGGCAAGGATGTAGCTATAAAGATGGAAACATTTTACAGAATCAAAAACCTTGTTCAACTAGTCCAAAAACACTGCTGTTTATGAGGAATATGGGGGATCATTCAGCAACCTTTTAAATCTTTTTTTTTTTTTTTTTGGTACCATTATTTAAAAAAATGAAAACTTAAGAATAATATGATATTAGTAAATTATGGTGAACCCATTTTTTAGAATACTAAGCAGTCAAAAAAATTAGCTTTTAAATTAATGTTTAATGGCCTCTGAAACATTTGTACTATACATTAAGTGGGAAAATGCTACAAAACAGCATATATTCCCATTATCCCATCTAAAATATCTTCCAAATATATAGTTATGTATATTTACATATACAGGTACAAAAAAAGCGGAAGGAGATAATTTAAAATATAAGGATTTGGAGGTGGCATAAAGTTATATCTTCAATTTTCAGATCTGTCTATTCTTGTTTTTCTACAATGAACATGTAGTAATAAGAAATTATTTAAAAACTTTTTTGTAGTAAGTTTTTGTACTAGGTTTTCTACTTCCAAAATGGAAATGATGTGTATATGCATAACAGTGTGATTAATCCTTTAGTAATTGTTTTGTGAAGAAAATCAGACTTTTTTTTAAAGGCTTTTTGGATCCCCAATACAGCTATCAATATGGACGCCTCGTGCTCAGTCACTTAGATTTAACACAGATTGAAAGCTTACTTAGTGTGAAGTTTTAGGGAGATGCTAAAATGACCTAAAAGAAACTACGGCCCAGTCGAATGGAGAAACCATGTTAGGAAGATAGGAGCTGACAGGTATTACAGAGGTAAAGTTACAGAAGCTCATAGGAGAGAGAGGTTACGTACAGCTTAGAAAAGTTATAAAGATGGTGACTAAAGGTACTAATGGTATCTGAAAAGAGTTCAGAGCAAGGGCATAACTTGACTGGACTTCGTCATCTCCTAACTTACTAGTTCTTATACTATGTGTCTTTTCAATGACAGTGTAAAAGAGAGGTTGTTGAAATTGGTATTTCTGCTGAATGTCCCCTCTAGTTTTTATGGATGACAGTACTTTTGGACTAATTGAGAAAGTTTTTTCATCCTGTAAAATGTCCCCAAACTTGTTGAAATCTAAATTGATCTTACCTGAATTTTCTGTGCGTGATGTGCCTTTGGGCTGTGTGGGTATGGTTTAAATAACAGCTCGCTGGATGCCGTGAGAAACTTCATCTCGTTAACCTTTTTCATAAACATTCTTGAACTGGGATGTTTACTAAGATCAGGTAAATTTAACTTGAAAGCATTAGTAAATAATAAGTTTTGTCTACCACCTTCCAGACTTGCCATGATATATATTTCTTAGAGATTTCACCAACCACAATAATTTGTAGCTGATTTGATGGGATTTTTCTTTAAATACCTGGTAGCAGAAAGGCTTTTAGTATAGCTTCAGTGGCAGTATTTAATCAGTATTAGTTCTGACAGATAAGCAATCTGATTTGCTCTTTATTGGCAGTACCTCTTGGTAGATCCAATCAAATATTAAGGTCAGATGGATTCAGCTCCCAGATGTGTTAGACAATGCCAATTTATAGTTTTTCTTTTTACTTTTCCTAGAATTCTACAAATATAGCCTTGAGAACAGAAATGCCATCATTATTACTTTGTGTTAATGGGACATTCTACTTCTAACATGTGACTTGAGTTTGATCTAAGACATTTTTGTGAATTGTGAAAGTGCAATAATCATTCTTA